TGGGGACCAGCGACCAGCCCCAGGTAAGTAAACCTTGCTGACCCCTGTCCTAGAAGCTCACCAGGGGGTACCAGCAAATTGCTTGGGAATAGGTCCTCTTCTAGGGACCACCACTTTGACTAGCACTGGTATAGAGAATTAGGGGCATATGTGGCTCATCAGGCCAAGAATTATGCTGGGTACCCTGGAGTCTTGGGAATTGGGAAGGGACTTCCAGAGGCTATAGATCTCAGTGGGGAGAACAAGGTTTTCAAGCTAAAAGGAACTTTTGCTTGTCTGGGATGCGCTCTGGTAGATTATGCAACCTATCAGAATGGATTCTGATCCAAACAGTGGCAACTATATCTGCTTTCACCTTATGAATTGGTAGCAACTATGTCTGCTCCTGCCTTATGAATCAGTTGCACTAACTGGAAATACTCCTCCCATTCGGGGTTCAGTCCTTCCTACTCAGGTTGGAAGTTGATCTCCTTGGATTAAGGCAAAATTTTATAAAGTAATTATTCTTTACAGAAAAAGACTAGTGAGCACAGTTGACAGTAATCTGGCAAAACTATGTTTTGAAAAGCAGCTTTCTTGAGTTGGATGGGCACATTTTTGTCTACTCTGAGACTCCTATATTTTGAAGATATTCAGATTCCAGCAATCAAGATGGACAAGCAGTTGATCAGAGAGAGAAAATTCAAGCTTGACTCCTATAATAATGTGCTTGGTAGCAAATAGCAAGTGCTTTCTTCTTGGTATAGCCAGTCCAAAGGGGGACAGTATTTCCAACAATATTTCCAAAACTTAACCTCGGAAAAGTCTTTATTGTCCTTCACTTTTAGACAATGTCAACAGCCTAACTGGATGGAAGTTATAAATGGATCCCTCAAACACAATGGCTTTATACCTGTGGTTCAGGGAAGCTGGAAGATCTAGTCCATTATCTTTTATATTGCCCTTTATATGAGGATCCTAGGGTACATTTCCTGGGTGAGCTTTTGAAAGCAACATTAATTGTGATCTGCTAGCAGGCAGCTCTAAGCTCATCACTTTTAAGGTTGCTACTTTTGCTGTGGCTGCTCAAAAGATCTGTAGTAATTTTATAAAAGCAATAATGGTGAACTGTAAATGGGATGAAATGTTATAGATAGAATGGTACATCAGTTTATTTTGCTGCTGACTTCCTGCTGCCTGACCTACCAAGGTTTTCCCTACCTCACCACTCAGGGAGATAAGGTTAATGGCTGACATCCCACAATTTGAGCCAGAGTAGTGAGGAATTCTCTATTGAATCCTCTGTGCACCTATTATGACTGAGACTATTGCCCTGGTTAGGTAGGGGGAGGGTCAGATTAACGTGTATTCCCTGTAGATATTGGTGAATCCATATGAATGCGTGGATGCACCTCACGTTGACAGGGACTGTTTCTAGAATTATATTTTTATCTGAGGAAGAACTTGCTCAATCACCTAAAAGAAAAAGACTCTCTAATACCATGCCAACAGATTATAACCCTTTCATGAAATGGAGAACATTCTATATTGACTAACCCAGTGGTTCTCAAACAGAAGGGGAGGATGCCCCTGAGGGGCATGGGAATTGCTCAAGGAGGGGTGTGAGACTTGGGAGGCCCTGATCCCTCCTTCTCCTCCCAAACTTTTTTATGTATAAAGTTTACACATGGGTTGAGTTAAATATTGAATTTACTTACACAGGAAAAACCACTGACAGACCTGGGCAAGTTGCACTCCCCGCAAAGGCAATGGGAAAGGGCGCCCTCTGAACAAACCTCGCTAAGGAAGATCCAGTCAGAAATGACAGTAATATATACACACCCTCACCTGTGACTAATCTTATAACAACAGGGGCATAGTTTAGCTATTGTGCATGAGGCTTGTGAAGGGATCCTTGGTGTAAGTACTAGGTGCAAGTACTAGGGACTTATAAAGGGACACAGGAAGAAAAGCTCTGGGACTGAGGAGAGACTGTGTCTTAAGAAGAAAACCCTATGATCGGTTAAGATGCTTTCTCTGACAGAAGGAAATAACCTTAACGCTATATACGGTGTTTCCCATAATCTTTGTGTTCTTCCTCCCAATCTAATAAAGAAGTCAATCACATTCTTCTGGTCGCATGAATTCCTAAGAATTAAATGGAGCATTTGAGAAAGGCAGGCTCACAACCCCTGCAAGGGAGGCGTGGAGTCACACTCCTCTAGACAAGCAGTTCTCTTCTGAGTCAAGGGAAGGGGGAGTTAGTTGCCTTTTGAGGTGTAGTCTACTAATACTCCCTGTATTATTTATGTGGAGCTTGGTAGCCCTTTCCATCCCTGAAGAGGGATGGAAATTTACATTGATGTAAATCTGTCAGGTGATTTTCTCAGCGATCCCTAAATGTGTGCAAACACTGTATATCAACTGAGTCATGATAATAAGAGCAAGGGAATGTTTCCCTCCTCCCTAAGACCAACCCAAGTTTCCTTGCTCATATACCTTAAACAAATGTGTTGCTGTAGCCTATGTTCTAGCCCTGCAACTGAGCTGGGAGATCTGTAGCCATGTGTTGAACCTATGACTGGCACTGCTGTTGGGGGGGGGGGTGTCTCCTCGGAAAAAGAGGCTCTGACTATAATGGGGACAGCAATAGAAGTCCTTAGAGAAAGGCAAAGAGGTTTTGTGTTGCTTTTAAGGCTAGCCTCTTCCTTTGTTAGTTTCCAAACCTCTTCTCAGCTCTAGCATGCGCCACGGAGGAGGCAAGCAGAGACAGGACAGGCATCCATGAGGAAGAACTTTGGTACAGGTCCCAAATTGTGGACAAAAAATGATAATTATTTAAACATGTGCTGGAAAGGTAATTTCAGTGTAACAATGGTACAAGAGGGAGAGGTTAACAGGCACCTCTTCTGAATCTGAGCCCCCCTGCCTGCGTTACTGGGGGGTGTTCTCTCCTCCTTTACTTGGATGACCAAGAGAGGCTGCTTGGGCAGTAGATTCCATCAGGCTGCTGGGTGACTGTTCTTGGGTTAGGAATGAGTTAGAAGCTGCTCCTGCTTGTGAGTAGATAGCTGCACGTGGTCTGAGGTTTGTCATGATGTTAACAGGAAGGCCACAGAACCTTTAAACTGACTGAGGGGCTACGCCTGCAGGAGGCCAGCTTGTTCAAACCACCCTCACTATGGAGCTTATTGCATTCACAATTAAAATGTCTTACCTGAGCCGGCTTAAAATTTAAAATGGGTGGCATCCTGATCTTATCACAAGGATTTAGCCACCGAATTTGCCACCCGGGTCCAACCTGAGTCCATCCCCACTCGCAGGGGCGCTCAGCATGCCTCTTTTTGAAGCCACGGGTTTTCCGGCTTAAAGAAATGGCTACCGGAGCACCCCAGTGAGTGGGGTTGGACTGGGGAGACAAATTTGGTGGCTAAATCCTTGTGATAAGATCAGGATGCCACACATTTTAAATTTAAGCCAGCTCAGGTAAGACGTTTTAATTGTGACTGTGACAAGCTCCTATGTTGGCTGGAACTTGAACGTCCAGGAGGAGGGAGGGATGCTTCAGGGAGACATTTTCTGCTTCCCTGAGGGAGACCCCCATCTTGGGTTGGAGGACCTCCGATGGAAGACAGATCCAGTGCCCTTGCTGACTTTTTCAACAGTATAGAGGGACCCTTGCTGGCACAATTGCCTGGAGGTGAGAAGGGAACAGCATCAATGGAGACTGGCTGGAAATGGAGTCTCTAGAATGGAAAAAGACCAACTTTGGGCCTCGGCAGACGACTAATTGAGTCGTCTTCGAGGCAAGGAAGAGGAGGGGCAGCTGCATGCATGGCGCCCCTTCCTCTTCCTGAAGCCGTCCTCGGAGCCGCCAGCCCTCCGCACGGCCGGCGCTCCGGGGACAACCTCCCGCCACAGCGTCCGCACGCGCTGCGGTGGAAAAGGCAGGGAAAGTGCACCCTACGCTTTTAAGGCGCACTTTCCCTGTCTTGTGGAAGGAGCGCGAAATCCTGCAGCGCTCCATCCGGCGGCGTCTCTGGCACCTCCGTCTGCTTCCCCCCTTTGTTTCCTCTGTGGTTCTCCAGTATCTTAGGAAATGATTTATTTTACATCATTTGCTATTTGGATCTTTTAAACAAAGATGCTGGGAATTGAACCTGGGACCTTCTGTGTGCAAAGCAGACATTCTGCCACTGACCTATGGTCCCTCCTGAGGAAACATTTGCCTGAGGAATGTTCTGAACTGATGGGTAGGGTCTCTAGGGGAAAGAGGGACCCAGTGATTTGACTGCCACTCTCAGAAGCATTGGGCAATCTTTTATCCAAAACAATCTAGCAGAGTAAGGGACGCAATATTTGTCTCCTGAAGAGAGATCTTCCTCCTCAGCCTCCAGAGAGGCGTTGGAGTAATCTTCACCTTCATACTCTTTGCCAGAAGTATGTGTAGTAAAACCCCATGCTTTCCATCACAGAAGTGTGGAGATTTTTAGTGTTTCTTAGCTGGCGGCTCCACCTGAGCCTCACAGGCTGTCTTGGAATCAGAGCCAAACCCTCTACTTCTGTCTCTGCCAGGCCCCATCTAGGACTCTTGCCAACCACGTGGTCAAAATGCCAATCAACTACCTCCTCCCATGTGTCTCCAGCATGGGGAGCTGAAAACGAGTCTGGGTGCTCCTGAAATTTCAAGCCACATGCCCCGAGTTGCATCATGTCTTCCTCCACATCTTGTGATACTGTACACCAGGGG